CCTCAATTTTCCTTGAATTTGCCAGATTGCTTTTTTCCAATGAAAGTTCCTGTCGAGGTGACCAGCACCCCAATAAGGCAAGTTCCTGCCCAGGAGGTGTGAGCCACCTGGGAAAATAAAAAGTCTGAAACAATCAGTAAGAAATACAGACAGAGCCAGAGATCAGATATAAAAAGAGCAGCGCCTGGCGGGCCTCCCAGTCCTGATAGGAGCTGGAACTAACCAACCCGAACAGGACCCCATTCCCCAATTTAAGGGGAGCACATCAAAGGCAGGGATCAGGGCTCAGCGGGAGGAGTCTTGTTTGGTGCTTGCAGTAAACAGGTTGATGGGGTGTGACTTGCCAAAACGCCTTTCGCCTTTCTCCCCATAAGCTGTATGGCTTACCCAGCAGGTCATTCCTGTCCCTGGAACTATGCTAGCGGCTTGGGAGGCTGAAGCAGTAGATTGCAAGTTCAAAGCCAGCCTCAGAAACTTAGCGAGACCCTAAGCAACTCAGTGAGACCCTGTCTCTATGTGAAATGTAAAAAAGGGCTGGGGATGTGGCTCAGTGGTTAAGCGTCCTTGGGTTCAATCCCTGGTAACTAAATAAATAAAGAAAGAAAGAAAGAAAGAAAGAAAGAAGAAAAATAGAGACACCAGCAGGATTGTCCACTGGGAGAGTAAAAATGATTAATTAACTATACATATAATTAGTCTCATTACTGAAATCATTGCAAATTAAAGAAAGGGATGTCATTTTCCTGATTATAATAGCAGAGGTCTTTTTTTTTTCCTCCCTAATGATCTTATTACTTGTTGAGCAGGTTGTATGTAAATTGGCATAAATATTCTAAGAAGCTGTTTGGGTGGGAGCAGCGCGTGTCATCACACACACCAGAAGCAACAGCAAGGGGCTATATATTTGTTTACTAATTATGTTTTTCCCTTGTGAATATCTTTTTTTTTTTTTTTAAAGAGAGAGTGAGAGAGGAGAGAAAGAGAGAGAGAGAGAGAGAGAATTTTTAATATTTATTTTTTAGTTTTCGGCGGACACAACATCTTTGTTGGTATGTGGTGCTGAGGATCGAACCCGGGCCGCACGCATGCCAGACGGGCGCGCTACCGCTTGAGCCACATCCCCAGCCCTGTTGTGAATATCTTATGTCCTTTTTATATCTTGATCAGTTTTCTTTATTCAATTACTTCAAGCATTTTCAACAATAAAAGGAACTCATGTACCCTATTTACAGATCCTTTTTCACCATCTGTTGCTCACTTTTTTGTTTGAAGTGGTCTCACTCTATTGTCATGGCTGGCCTCAAACTCTTCGGCTCCAGAGATCCCCCTGCCTTGGCCTCTAGCTAGGACTCTAGGTATGCACCACTGCACCTGGCTTACCTTATGTTTTTAGGTGTCCGAGGGTTTTATTTATTTATTTTTTAATGCAGTTTATTTCTTACTTAGTTTCTTTGCAGTTTTTTTATGGCTCCTGAGTTTGGAAAGTCATTGTCACATATTTGAGTGTATGTACTTCTGATTATTTAAAAAATATATTTTTTAGTTATAATTGGACCTTTGTTTTATTTATTGATATGTGGTGCTAAGGATTGAACCCAGAGCCTCACACATGCTAGGCAAGTGCTCTGCCCCTGAGCCACAACCCCAGCCCACTTTTGATTATTTTTGATTGGATTTTTAAAAATACTTCACAGTGTAACTCTATGTAGACTTTCTTTCTTTCTTTCTTTTTTTTTTTCTTTCTTTCTTTCTTTCTTTTCTTTAATACTTTTTAGTTGTCAATGGACCTTTATTTAATTATTTATATGTGGTGCTGAGAATCGAACCCAGGGCCTCATACACACTAGGCGAGCGCTCTACCACTGAGCTCTACCTAGGATTTCTTTTGATTGAGACTGAGTTTCTCTCTCTCTTTTTTTTTGTTCTCCAAAAACTGTTAAGTGGTTATTCTGACATAGTTTAATGAATCCTTACCTTCCCCAAGTTATTTGTGAGGCTTCCTTTAACATTTTTCCCTTTACATTTTGAGATAGGGTCTTTCTTGTTAAGTTGCTTAGAGCCTCGCTGAGTTGCTGAGGCTGGCTTTGAACTTGTAATCCTCCTGCCTCAGCCTCTGAGCTGCTGGGATTACAGGGGTGTGCTGTGTCTGGTGTACAAATGCATTTTTAAAAGTATCTTTGTGGCTTTTTCTCTTTTTCTTCATATTGGTTGGTTGTATTTCCCACGATGATCGTCTCTCTGTACTTTATGTTGTTGTCTGAAATTGGATCTTTTAAGACTTTATTGCCAACGTATAGGAGTATTATTGTCTTTCCTGTTTATTTTGATTGGCAGCTTTACTGGGCTCTCTTTAATTCAAGTAGTTTTTCAAGTGATGGCTTTGCACTTCTGATACGGTCCTGCGGTCACTTCATTGGTGCATCATGATCATCTTGTCTGCTTTAGTGTCTGTGCCTTCTGCTCACTGGCCAGAATGTTCGAGGCCGTCTTCAGGGATACTGGTGATGGATGGCCTCCTTATTTTTATAGGGAAGCTTCTGCCTTCCCTTGTGTTGCTTCTGGTGTGTGTGATGACACCCGCTGCTCCCTCCCAAAAGCACAATAAAAACTCCTTTCTGGCCCTTTGTACGCCTGACACCAAGCGCAAGCGGGTTTATTGTTTGAGAGTGTCCCTCTCTAGAATCCCCAGCCTGCCCCAAACTCTGGGCCTGTGGTGCCGGTCTGCTGCCAGCCCGGCCCTGATCCCTCTTCTGAAGTGTGACCTTTAGAGACGTGCCCTTCCTGGAAGGACGTGGTGCTCTTTTCTGCCCACCCCACTTCCCGACATAAGAGCCGGTGCCTGGCGCTGGACAGCTTCGGGCTGAGGTGCCCTGGACCCGAGGAGGCTTCTCAACGTGTTGTCCAGAAGGGGAGGCTGGGAATCCTCGGCCATTTGAACTGTCGCCCTTTCCAGCTGTGCCAGCTGTCCTCTTTCCCTCTCACACTGTGTCAGCGAGGTCATTAGCGCCCCTGCTCTGCTCCAGCCTGCGGGGCTTCTGGCACCGCGCACTGGCGTCCTCCCAGACCAGGAGGAAAACAGATGCAAGATCAAGTTTAGGGGCTGGGGATGTGGCTCAAGCGGTAGTGCGCTCGCCTGGCATGTGGGGGGCACTGGGTTCGATCCTCAGCACCACATAAAAAAATAAAATAAAGATGTTGTGTCCACCAAAACTAAAAACTAAAATATATATATATAAAAGATCAAGTATAGTCCGTGCAAGGTGAGGGGGTCTCGTTTGCATTGAGGCTCAGGGGCTGGAGCAGGCGTGCTGAGGGGGCAGAGAAGGCTCCCGGAGGAGCTGACCTTGAACAGGGACTTGGAGCCAGAGGAGAAGTTCTTGGGGCAGGAGGGTGAGGGCTTCAACTGGGATTTCCACATACTTATTTATTGTGGCTACTGGAAGTAGGACCTTTAAAATTGTATTTCATGGCTAGCAATGGGAATATTACTGAATTTTGCATATTTGCTTTGGAATAATCTGCAAAGGCCCAGAGGCCTGAGAGAGTCTGGCATCTTTGGGGGGAAAGTCAAGAATTGTCGAGTTAGAGGGACAGTGCCGTCAGTGGGTGAGGGGTCTGGGGCCCAGGGCTAGGGAGCAACATGGGTGCCCTGGAGGGCTTCTGAAAGAGGTGGGGTGAGAGCTGGCCTGGAAGCATAGAGAGGATTTGGATAGAGGGGGAGGGCTGGGAGGAGAGGGACGATATGGTGATGTACCTGCTAGGCACTTTATCGTTTGATTACATTTACTCTTCCCAGTGGCCTTGCCAGGCAGATGATGATATCCCCATTTTACAGATGAGGAAACCGAGACTCAGTGAATTGAAGTGACTTGTAGGAACTGGACAGCCTAATTTGTGAGCCTCTATGCTGTTGGGGCCCCCCTACTGCTATATGTATGTGTGCATATATATGTGTATATATATAATATGTTTATTGGCTTTATTGAGATGTAATTCATGTACTATATAATTCCCGCCTTTAAAGGGTACCAATTTTTAAAAATACTTTTAGTTGTAGATGGACACAGTAATTTTATTTTTTATGTGGTCCTTAGGATGGAACCCAGCGCCTCACACATGCTAGGCAAGTGCTCCACCACTGAGCCCCAGCCCCAGCCCCCTAACCTACTTTCTGTCCACAGATTTGCCTGCTCTGGACATCCCGTGTGAATGGAAGCATATAGCATATGGGCTTTGTGATGGACTTCTGGGGCGTGGCGTGTTTCCCGTGGTCTGGTCACATTACAGCGTGCCTGGTGCTTCATGTCTTCGTTGCTGAATAATATTCCTTAACGAGGCTCRATCCCGTTTTGTTGGTCTGTTCTGCAGTTGATGGTCCTTGGGTCGTTTTCACTTCCAGGCTCCTGTGCATGGTGCTGGTGTGAGCACCTGTGTGTAGTGTGGCGTGGCCATGTGTCCTCGTTTCTCTTGATATGTAGGAGCGTGTTTAACACCCGGGAGCTGCCGGGCTGTCCTGGGGGGCAGCTTCCCTCTTGCGACTTATCCGAGGCTTGCATGCAGCGGGATGGGACTGGAAGGTCAGGCCGCGGAGCCTGTGTGCATTTCATGTTGTCAAGCAGCTGGCTGAAGTGGTCTAAGGACGCTGCTGAGTCTGATGATTCCAAAGGAACTCGGTCCTTCAGGGTTTGAAGGACRCGGCTATGAATGCCGATTGTTGTGCCAGCAGGTCCGGCCTTCGGTGTGTTGCAGCTAGTAGGCTGTGTGGTAGAGAAGGTGCGCGGCTAAATCCTGAGGTTCAGTCTGTGAAGGAGGGACAGGTGTGAGTTAATGCTGACGAGGGGACTCCTGGAGAGGGAGGGCGGGGTCTGGAGCCTGTCCCTGGAGAGACAGGCCCGAGGTGCGGAGGCTGGGCAGGAAGATGGGCTTGGGGTCCGTGTGGGTCTGGGGCACGTTCCTGGGCAGCCAGGTGGGTAACTGTCGTCTTTCTTCTCTGGCTGCAGACCTGGCCGAGTGCAAGCTGGTTTCCTTCCCCATCGGCATCTACAAGGTCCTGCGGAATGTCTCCGACCAGATCCACCTCATCACCCTGGCTAACAACGAGCTCAAGTCCCTCACCAGCAAGTTCATGACCACGTTCAGTCAGCTCCGAGGTAGGCCGCAGTCGGCCCAGCAGGAGGGCGTGGCCAGCCATCTTCCTTTAGACTGACCCTGTGTGAGTGATGTCTCTAGAGCCAGTCCCCAGGCATGAATCACCCACGAAGTCCTTTCTGGGGAAGGCTTTTCGGACGGGCCTGCATCCTCCCTGCAGCCTGGAAATCTCCAGGGCGGCTTCTGAGTCTTGCTGGCCAGGTCTGCTGTTCTGAGCAGATCCACGGGACATTTGCTCTGAGGCCCAGGAAGCGTGAATCCTCCGTCGGCTCGAACGAGCTCCTTGCTCTCTTGAGCTGCTTCCTGGGTTCAGGAGTGACGAGGGCCAGGAGAGCTGGCACATGTCTCTGAGCATTTTCTCTGAACACGCAGAACAGTTGGCCAGGCACCTAGGCGGGAGCTTGGCAGGACGGGCATTGGGATTTCTTTTGAAACGGCTCCTCTGGATGGATGAGCAGTGAGCACCAGCTACTGTGGCCCTCCTCCTGTCTCTAGACGACAGTCCCTCCATCCTCTGTCACCTGTGGAGTGGAGCCGCAGCCTGGGTGCTTGTGTGCTGTGAACTGTTGGGCGGGAGAAATGCCAGAGGTGGTCCTGGAGTTCCTCATTGAGGGGTACGGAAAGGGTCTGAGACCTGTTGAGAGAAATGAGTAACACAGAATGCTGGTGCTGCCTCAGCCGCTTGAGCAAGCAGGTCTCAGCCAGCTGAGCTGGGCCAGCTTCTTGGGGAGGCGTGGGCCCGGGGCAGAGCCCAGAAGGGAGAGGGAGGCACGGATCTGCAGACATGGCTCAGCCAGGGGAGGGGCTTATGCAAGGACTCCAGCAGGAGCCAGGCAGGACCTGGAGAGGCCACTGCCCAGGTGCACACAGAGGGGCCAGGAGGAGGGCTTCGTCTGGGTCCTCACTTCTGAGGGACGCTCACAGAGCTCATTGCTACAGCACCTGTGACTGGGGCGGGGCGGGCCCTGGCAAGGCTTGCTGCCCAGAGATGCCCACAGGTGCTGTCGCCTGGCCTGGCCTCCCTCCTTTCTGTTCCTGTAGCTGATGTTTTACATAGAAGAGATGGGGCTGCAGAGCCAGCCAGCTCCCCAAACCGTTCCTGGTGGGATTAGAATCACAGGAGGAGCTTTTCTGTTAATACTGTCATCTATTTTCCCTCTCTTTTTTGGTACTGAGGATTGAACCCAGGTTCGCTTTATCACTGAGCCACATCCCCAGCCCTTTTTATTTTATATTTTGAGACAGGGTCTTGCTTAGTTGCTGAGGCTGGCCTCAAACTTTTTATCCTCCTGCCTCAGCCTCCTGAGCCACTGGGATTATAGGTGTGAGCCACCATACCTGGCACATTGTTTTCTTGATCAGGTGAATCAGAATAACTGTGTGGGCCTGGGCCGAGGCATTCATTAGTACATTCATTAGTACCTGCACCAGCCATTCTAAAGTGCTGTCAGTCACAATTAAGGGTTATAAACATAAATACCTAAGAGGTTAGCATTTATTGAGTGACTTGGATTGGGCATGTGGCAATAGAGAATGGTGGGGACTATGGCAAACTAGTCCATGCTCTATTCAGCATCAGCCAGGGACATCATGAGAGGAAAAGGGCTGGCATTGCCCACACTTCTGCTTATTTAATGAAGCAGGAAATGAGGATTTTATGTGAATTTTCCTAAGTTTTGCATAAAATGAAATCCAATAAAACATATTTGCAAGTTAGATTTATCCCACAGGCCACCAGTTGAAAGGTTTCCTGTACTATATCAGTGTGGCCTCTCTCGTCGCACTTCATGGAYGGAGAAAGGAGTCAGGGAGGGAAGGGCCTGTCCAGGGCCTCGGAGCAGTTGCTCACCTTGTCCGCCAGGGCTGCCTTTGTGGGCCATCCTGAAGGCCTGTTGGGGGCCCGTTGGTCTCTGGTTGGCGCGTGGTTGGAAGTGGAGACAGAAATCATGGAGCTGTCAGTCATTAGTGGAGCCAGGCTGATCCTCACAGGGTCCTCAGTGGCTTGCGGCCTCGGATTCCTCCAGTCGACTCCTCAGGCCGCTGTCCTTCCTGGGAGGACAGGATACCCAGGCCCTCCCAGCCCCACAGTTGGTGTTAGGTCCTGGTAATGCCCACACTCTTTGGAGATGATAAGACAGCTAAGAGCTGCCCGCGGTCCCGGAGGGGCCTCTGTTGGCAGGGAGGCAGGTGTGAGGGGCACAGGACGGTGTGAGGGGCAGAGCGGAGGCCACAGTGGGCACGGAGGAGGCGAAGTGGGCTCTGTTTGGGGTGAGTGGGGAGCCAGAAAGCCTCCCTAGGAAATAGCTGAACACCGGGGTTGACAGATGGGTAGGTGTTTGCCGAATAAATAAGGGGGAGTTTTCAAAGCATCTTTCGGAAGGTAAAAGGTGTGTTTGGGAAACAGCTGGAAAAAATGGTACCAGATTGAATGTTGCAGACCAGCAGGATACAGGCTTGTCAGGGCCTGGCCCTGGGAGCTGTCCACCTGGGGAACATTCAGGAAGGGTCCTGGAGGGACGGTTGGGGTAGCCAAGAAGCAGAGAGTGACAGGAGGACAGGAGGAGCCTTGGGCAGCAAGGCCCGGGGTCAGGAAGGCTGGGGAGATGGCTGGCCTCAGAGGCCCGGCCCCAGGCTTTATCCTCCTCCAGATCCTGAGGCCCCTCTGCCCTTCACAGGGGGAGGAGCTGCTGTGGGCACTGCTAGGGCTCTGGCTGGTCCAGGTGGGCATGAAGTCCCGGCTGTTCTGGGCAGTGGGGCTGGGCGCCCCTATGGAGACCAGCCCACCCCAGGGTCCTGGAGCTGGAGGAAACCCGGCCCAGCAGAGGCCCAGCGGTCAGAGCTGGCCCCAGAGGGTGGGGGCCGCAGTCACTCTGACCTCTGGCCAGGTGGAGCTGAGATGTTCTCTTGGGCTTGTGGCACCTTCTCTGTGATTCTGTGGCAGTGACGGGCTTCTGGTCCCTTTTCAATGTTTCCTTCGGTGTGTGGCAGGAGATGTCAGCCAGCCATCAACCGGGTAGGACGCGCAGGATCCTCCCCAGGCTCCAGGCCTGCAGCAGGCGGGCACCCTGCCAGGCCTGTCTGCAGAGGGCCCCTGCTGCTCCCCAGGCAGCCCGCCCGCCTCGCCACAGGGCTCTTCCCACAGCGGCTCCTTTGAATATTGCCAGAGAAAACTGCAATTTTCCTCTTTGCCGCGGCCAGCAGGGCAGGTGGGAGGGCTTCTCTCCCCCTCTGGCGAACTGCCTGGATCCGAGGGCCGCAGGTCATTTCTGCTCCAGCCTTGCTCCAGGGCCGGTGTCCCCGGTGGGTGTGGGCAGAGGGCATGGAGGAGCTAGTGTGACGCAGCTGGGGTCACTGAGGCAAGGGTGAGTGGGACAGGCGGGTCCCTCTCTTCCTTGTGTTCTGTCCAAGCTGCCACTGTCCACACGGGTCAGGAGTCTTAGGAGGTGTTAGGGGGCCGGGAGGGACAGTAGATGGTGGGGAAGTACTTACAGGGGCCTGGAAGGGCATCTTCCCTGGTGTTCTGGGAGGGGAGGATAAGGAGCAGGTGTCCCCTGTACAAGATAAGGCCGGGGAGCGAGGAGCCCTCTTGGGAGAGGCCACAGGGCCATCTCCTCCATCCGTTTTTGCCATCCCTTCTCCAGGGGCCTGGCCCTGGGGTCACTTAGATGACCTCAGCAGAGGCCCAGCCGTGGCCCCTGCATGCTTCCGGGCCGGGGGTCAGCCCTCCCAAGTCCAYGGGCCTCCCCACCTTTAGGTTGGAACCCAGAGGTGGGATCACCGAGGTCAGAGGGCACGAGCGCCAGAAGGCTGTGCTGCGGAGAACTGAAGAAGCGCTGGGCAGAGGCCGGCCAGCTGTAGAGCCGGAGGAGTGCGTTCAGTCCCCCTGGGAGGAGCTGCCGCGGCCTGGAGAGGAACTCCTGCCACACTCACAGGCCCTGCAGCCTTGCGGCCCACCCCTGCGCCCATGGAGAGGGGACACGCCTGGGCACTGGGACATCGTGACTCTGGTGCCTCTGTCCTCCAGGGCCCAAGCTCACGTAATCCTGTGTGACACAGGGTTTTGCAGTCATGTCCCCTCCAGCTCTAAGTGCCGGCCTCCCCTGCTGTGCGCTGTGGTTGGATGCCCCTCCCCCCACTGCCCATTCAGTTTTGGACTGTCCTTCCGTCCCTGCCATACCCACCCGCTCCACGGGTAAAAGTGTGTCCTGTGAACTTCTTTATGTTTTGAACAGGCACTAGACGCATACAGGCCATGAGCTGAAAAGAACACTTGGGAAAAATAAGGCTCTCTCAGTCCTGTCCCCAGATGTCCAGTTCCCTGTCCAGGCACCCTCCATTGCCAGTTCTAGAGATAGCCTCTGCCTCTGCGAGCATTTGCTGTTAGCATTTGTAGCCTGCCACTCTATGGGCAGGCGTCGTTGAAGTCACGTTACAAGTATAAAATTATTCAAATCTTCTTGCTTCTGTCAGGTAGATTCTCTTAGTATCTCTCCTTACATGAGGAAAGAAACTGAAACAGAGAGTGTGAGTAACTTGCCTAAGGTCACACAGCAAGCAAAGATGGTGTTGGGACTATGGCTCCAGACCCAGAGCTCTTTGATAGGCTGGTCGAGTAGGATACTGTACTGCTTTATGTCTTGCTTCTTGGACTTGGTGGTATGTGTTAGATCTTGGATCACGTTGGTACAGCGAGAGCTGCCGTAGTGTTTTCTTGGAGAAAGAATGTTCAGTACCTCATTTTCACCCTTGTCCCAGTTAAAGGAGTGTTTTCAGGCCTACTGTGGAGAGAGTGGCTTTCGGGACTTCTCTCCTGTCTCGTTACCCGCTGACCCCGTGGGCAGTAGTGTCTCTGGGTGAAGTCCTCTTGCACTAAGCACTGTTTGAAGGACACTTCGCTGCCAGACTCCACGTCTGACGCTGCCCTTTGGGGGATCCAGGAGGTGGGGGCGTGATTGCTCGGTGACACGGGGTCAGAGCCGAGGGACTGATTGTCCCTTGATGG